CCTAGATATTCATTCACAAACCCAGAAACAATTAGTTACCAAGAACTTTTCTAAAAATATTAGTTTCCCGTCAGTAGGAACAGAAACCCAACGCAGCATAGCTATCCGGTATGTGATCCAAAGAGAAGCTGCTTGATGTAAGTGTGCAAACCCTTCACAGCTGGGTGCGAAAGTCAGCACAGGCAAATCACAACCCACCTCATGAAGGAATGAGAATTGGGAGGGGAAGGAGGCACTTCTGTATCATCCAGGTACTGTTGGCTCTGTCCATAGGCATAGAAGCGAGGGGACAGCATAGGATCACTGTCCTCATCCAGAAGCTGGCGAATTAAGCGACCGGCCTGCGGGGAAAGGCGAGCCTCATCTGAGTCTAAGCCGTCTCGCTGCCATGAGGAAAGAGCAGGGATGGGCTCTGGGAACAGTAAGACAAAGGCTGGTTTTATCGTTTTTGTTTTACATGTGTGACAGACTCCAGGCAACTTTTCTAATGAACCCCGACCGACCCGTTTGTCCTGGACTGCGATTCCTTTTTGTCAGGTATTTTCTGGGTCATTACTCGCATCTGCCCAGTGTGCAAAGCAACACAAAGCATTGCCTGGCCACAGTGGGTACTCTACACAAACATAAATAATATCCCAGGTGCAACAGAAAACTGTACCCAAAAGTTGGCCAGTAATTACCACGGACTGACATCAAACGAGGCTATCACCAGCCAGCACCTCTGAGGAAAAAGTTATGCTGGACAAGAGAGAATTATTGGCACATGCCAGTATAAAGGAGGCAACTGGATTACAGGAGGATTTTTTTTCAGTTTCAGGATGTACAAATGCTGTAAATGAATAGCATATTAATTGTCCTCCCATAGCCTCCTGCACTCCAGTACGACCCTGCCGCCTGCCATTGGAAATTCAAAGAGTAGGAGTAAGCATAGGTTCTTCCAGTCTGCTAGGACAAGGCGTCTCACACTACTACCCGTTCCACAAAGTGCCTAGCCTGTAAATTAACAATGACGGTAATAGGGTCTGAGTTCCCCCCTTTTCTCTTTCACATGCAATCCTGCAGCTTAACAGCATGGTAGAAAAGTGAGGAAATCTTCAGTCCCCTGGACAATCTAACCAGCTGGAAGTAAAAGCAATGTTCTATAGGGAGATGGTGGACTGGGAGAGAAAGGGAAACCCAACTTAGCATTTCTGATTAGCATAGCGGAGCCCACGGAAAGCAATCGCCTCAATCTTGTGATCACTCCCTCCAGATGCCATAAGGAGTCTAACGTTTTGTGTTCAGATAGTTTACTAAGCTGATTTGCATGCTCCTACTTAGCACCACAGGATTAGACAGTTTAAGAGCCAGGCTTTGAACTTATAAATCTAACAAATAGTTCTAGAGTCAAGTAACAAAACAAAAACCTTATAGAAAGCTCCCAGACAAGTCGCAGAGCTATGGACTCATTATTTCCCATGCCTACTGTATCTACTCTTTGTCTACAAAGTGAAGTTATCAATTTTTGAATAAAAAGCAGTATTTCCTTTTGCTGAACAAGGTTAACATTTTCATAGCTCAGAATGGATTGCATGAGGATTCCCTTACAGAACCTCTATGCTGTTTAATATTCCCCCCATGTACAATTTGGACAGCGCAAGATCATCCACAATTTGGTAATGACAGGCTCAGCGGTATTTCGCCTGTACACAGCGTCACACGATGCTCTCCTCCTCTTCCCTTCTTCCTTAGCACATGAATATAAACGGCATGCCTCTGCTTAGAGGCTGGTGCCGCATGCAAACTGATACGTTGCTCTGAAAGGGATGGCTCGAGGTTTTTGCATAAGAGCCTCTCGCAGGTGTTGTGATAAGCAAAGCACATACAAGCCTGGCTCACAGAGGCTACTTTGATGAGGTGTACAAGTCCCGAGTGTACGTAGGCTGTTTTGCCATAGATTGGAAAACTTATGCAGCCTGCACTTCTCAGTTAATTTCTGGAACAAGAGTTTTTTCTAAGCTGTGCTCAACCTTGGCAGTTCCTAATACCTGAAATATTTTGCTCAAAGAATTTGATAAGAAGGAAGGTGAAACGAAGGGCAAACTCTTCAGCCAGACTGCGACACTTCAGTGTCGCACACTTCCCTGAATCTCAAGATTTCAGGAAGGTCCTCAACAAGGTCTCTTGTAGCAAAATAAAGGCTAATAACGCAAAACGAACAAATTTGATACGTTTGACTGCAGGAATGAGGTTAAGTGATGCACACGATTCTTCCAGGCATCTCTCACTTCCAATTTTTGGAATACATTCTCACCCCCAAACAGAATACGCTCTTGGAAATTGTTAAATCACGCCTCCACGGGATTTACACAGATGGAATAAACTTAGAAGAAATCAGCAGCATATTTAGCAGTAACCAAATTAAGCTCCTACTACACCAGCTAACAAAGCCATTATTAATCATGCATGATGCATGTGACTTTGTCCCAAGGTGGATTTATACACCAGATAGCACGCGACATTCAGGGAATTGCAATGGCTCAAAGAGCCTCTGATCAAACCCCAAAGGACAACACAGCACTTTATGCAAGCTAGCGGACACCGAGGTATGAGTACTTTCTATTTTGTTGATTTCAAAATACTGCCCCAAACCAGAAACTCATGTTCCAAAGGAGAAAGTGGTAAAAAGGAGAAGGGAAAAAAGTCCTAGAAGGAAAAAACAAATTTGAGACTTGACAGAGGAAATGGCTGCTACAGAAAAACAGCTCTTTTTAACCCTCGCTCCTGGAAGGCCTGACTCTACTGGTAACTTGTTTCCCTTGCTGACTGTAAGTATTTAAAAGAAAAAAATCTCATCTGGACACAAAATGGCTACCCCCCCCCCCCCAAAGTAACACAGTAATTAATTAAAGAATATATTTAGGTATGTAGAATTATGGATTTTATCTACATCAGATCACGAAGTGGACCAGAGCTGTAGTCCAATTGCCTTCTCTCTCATACTGGCCAGCTGCCAGGCACTTCAGCTGGAAGCACTGGAATTGCTGGATTGCACAAATACACAGGAACCTGTTAGGGGTAAGCTGCTGCTTTTTTTGACAGTGCACAATCAATCAGTTTCTGCTTAACAGAATACATAATATCTTTTGTTATTCATTTATCCAAGATAGCTATCAAGTGTTGAGCCTTTTCTGAAGGCTGCTAAATTCCTGGACTTAATGGTTGAGGTTTGAAATATCTGCTATCAGGATTAATGTTGTCACCCTTTCCCCTTTCTGCTAATTGAAGAAAATCTCAGTAAAGAATATAAATGTTTTACCTTTTCTTTGCCACTGACTTGACAGAGCAGTTACCCTTACTCATCTTCTGTTTTGAACAGATCTCTCCCGCTCAGAGAAAACTCTCAGTTTTTTACTCATCTCCACATTCTTTCAATGTACTATTTTTTCCCCTATTTTCCATAATGACAAGCTTCCATGAAAAAAAGATATTTGGGAATATTTAACCACCATGGCTGTACTAGTACAGAGAAAGGGTGAAAAAGTTTTCTATTTCTTGGTCAGACTCTCAACGCATTTCTTTTAGGTATGCCTTTTCTAAGTTGGCGCAGACGAAGTGAAATATGCTGGTATTGAGTCTGCAGTCCTTCAGAAGTAAAAAAACCTCTCCAAAAGATCTCTCAAAATCCCACAACCAGCTAATCTTTCAACAAAGCTGTCGGCCATCTGCCAGGTGTTGCTCTGCAGAACTCTGTAGGCACACATACGCCTACGGCAATACAACCTCTCTGCCAACCTGCCGCCTAAAGGGCAGGAGATATTAATAAACCTCTGTCACGCGAGAAGGAAGAAAGATTAATTGTATCAAACTGGTGTATTATTGGTGAGCTCCAAGCCGCCTTGCTGACAAAAACTGACTTTTTTTTATCATTACATTATGTATTTGCCACAGGGTTGCAGGGGGCTGCAGGGCCACCAGAGGGGTGCCCACACACACATCCCACCTGAGGTGCAGCTGGCAAAATGCCCCCGGCATCTCCTCCTTCCCTCTCTGCAGCCACACAGCTGATACATGCTGCTAACACTGCTTTTACACACACCCATCTGACAAACAAAGAAGGCCAAATCTTAGCTGCTGTAAACGGAAGCAGGTCTGGAGGGATTAAAAAGCCTAAACTAATTACAACACCTGAGGTCTTAGTATGAAATCCCCTTGAAAGACCCCAGAAAGACCTCTCAAAATGAAGTGAATGAAGCAATTCAAAACCCCGTAACATTCACTAGCTCAGTAACAACCTATTTTACTCATCTTATAAATAACTGTTGGAAAATATCCTTGTTCGAATACATCAGGAGGTATTCTTCCTACGTAGATCAAAAAGAATGGCCCAAATAAAGCACTACCATGCTTTTTCAGTTAGTGAGATGACACATCTCTCAGCTAGCAAGCCAAGTTTGTATTTTGTTTATAACATAACGTCATAATAAACAATGAAAAAATACATTTTTAAAATACTGATGCTATAAAATAAAATCAGTAAACAATGCAATTATTCTTTTCTACACATAGTTACAAAAATGCAGTGTGCTTCATCACCTTTTCATTTCTTATGCTGAAGAGCGTTACATACAAACACACTGACGTATCTAAGTCCACAGTGTTGAAAAAAGGAAATCTAAATCCAGCTTCCCGGTTGCTATACTCTTTGGATTCTTTTGCATTACTCTTTTTTTTTTTTATGGGAAAGTATCACTTAAGTCAGTGTCAAAACCATTTGTATATCAGCTTCACCCTCAGGGTCTCAGTGCTGCAATACTTGAGTTCTCAATGCTGAGAAATCAAGTTGTGTTTTAAACTTCTGCTTTTATTCTTTTCTTTTTAAGCTTGAAAGTTTGCAGAAAAATGTCCGCTGATTGTTTCATAAGTGCTTGTTACTGCAAACTCTGCTTGAAATCTCATCTACACAACTTTTTTTTAAAACATCGGTAATCAGGCAACGTAGGCAGCAATCACACGCGTCGTATCCATTTACTGAACTGCCTGTTCAGCTCCGAGCTGCTGACAGGGCCAGACGCTTTTACGGAGAGCAACATACTTCCAGATTTTTCTTGAGGGCAGGATAGCAAGTTCTGGGCTTAAATTAGAAACATTTGGTGAGAAATCTGCACAATAGTGCTGGACGGTGAGAGAACATTCTGTCCTCCTCACTCACAGCACTCGATCCAAACGTAATCCACAACAATTAAAAAGCTTTGCTATGGAAGTAGCTCTGAAAACGCTTGCTTGCAAGCCGTCTCAGCTGGCACCGACTGACTGGCTTAGCAGGCCAGCCTAGCAGTCAGACATCCCAGCTCACAGAGACAGCTCGGTCCACATCCAGCCTGAGAATAAAACTATTTGATTTGCATCCACCAAATGCACACTAGTAAAATACTTCTCTCGGACCATGGGAAATGCACCTAGGCTAAGTGTTCAGCATTTGAATTTGGCCAGGGCACTGCTCACACCCCGTGTACTGCACCAATAGCCTGATGATTACTACACATATGCCCCTATACGTAGCAGGCAAGGCGGACGCAGAAAGCAGGCACATGGCAGAATGTGAGCCTATGTACTGGAGGAGCTGGGAAGCAAATTTCTCTCTCTGCTCAGCTTTAAGTAAAGGGAATATAGCCTAGAGAAGCACAGCAAATCTCTCCTCTTGCATACAGATTTCACTATGCGGTGAACCTCAAAAAAAACCCCAAACCTGGTAAAAATTACTTCCAGCATAACATAAAAGACAGGGGACCCTGCCAGCTCACCTGGCAGCAGTTATCCCAGTTCTGTGCCCCTGAATGAGGGTTTTTAAGGCAGCTCTGGTCTTAACATGATGGAGAGTCTGCCTGCGTGACAAATAAAAACTACTCAATGGACAAGGCTGTCTTGCATAATCTTGTGCCCATTCTTCAAAGCCCTTTCCTAACATTTGACTGGAGGCAGTGACAGCTACAGCTGAAGGCAACCCCTCAACCTGTAATTGTTCTCACAAGCAAAGGCCCAGCGGTTGCCCTGGTCACTAGATGCTTTGTATCTCCTGCAGTATGATACAGAGGACCCTGCCCCCAAAAGTCAGCTCAGCTGTGTCCTGGAGGAATGGGTAATTTCCTGAGAGATGCTGAAATTTGCTAGAGCAAAGCAGTCAGTAGTTCAGTGTTACTGCATTTGGAGGCACAGTCCTTTCCCTCTTCCCTGGGGATGTAACCAGAGCCTGCAGCACAGATCCTGAAGAGATGTGTGAAGGTTTGAGTGACACAGGCTGGCAGGGGAAGGGAGGCTGCCATGCCTGCTAGAGCCGTGGCTGAGTGGTACAACACTGCCTTGCAAAGCCAGTCACAACGACAGACTCTGCAGTTAGTTGCAGAAGCAGCCTGAGAGCTGACATTAACATCTTCCCCTTCCTGGTTGCTGCGAGCTTGATTTCACATCCACAGCTAAGAAAGACTCAGTCTTTCCTTGCTGAGACACAGAAGGCACCATTTTGCTGCTCTTTCATCTCCGCCAACAAAATGGTGATTCTGGAAGGTGAGTATTTTAGATGACATCTCACCCCAGACAGCTGATGCTTTTGCAACTGCCCACCTCCTCCTCTTGTGAAATACACGTGAACAGAACAGAGGAAGGAAGAATCAGAGAGAAGCACTCTTCAAGCACAGTCACACGTGATCATAATCCTGTTTCATATTTGCAGGGGAAGAAAGCTAGAATCCAAACATAAGAGCATGCCTACAAAGAGGGAGTTGTACCAAAGGTGCAACTTCTTTCATACGATGGGAAAGCCTCTAGCAGACAGAAAGGAGCTGTGTTCTCACCTTCATGCATTCATATGACCCCCATTAGTAACCCAGGAATTAAAAAAAAAAAGAGTCATTATTGCCAGAGGTTCACATGATGGCGGAAGCCACACATCACCTCTGAGAGCACAGACCTGCTCACTCTGGCTGGAGACCCTGCAGGGCGGTGCTAATTAGCATCTCGGCAAACACATAAGGCGGCCAAGGCCTCCTGAGAGCCCTTCCATGGCGCTTTGATCAGCCATGCTGCACGCATGGTGATAGCACCCAGGGAATCCCCGCCCAGCAAGCAAGTGGAGAAATTCTCTCCTGTCCATGGTGACTAGCTGCCTGGCTGAATCAAAGGCAGCCACGGCTGCGGGTTTTCTTTACTCATGCTCGAAGTTTCATAACTGCTCCCCTCCTAGGGGGAAAGGCAAAATATACTAGGTCACGTATACTGTGGAGGCAGGAGCAGAGAACTTAACTTCTCAGTGTTCCTCAGAGATTGGTTTTTTTAGAGCAAAAAATTAGTTACATATTTTCCCTCTCTTGCTTTATTAAAATACCATACTTGCATTTTCCTGTTTCTTCCCTGTCAAAGCCCCTCTTGCACTCCTAAAGCACAAACTAACAGAAGAATTCTTGCTTGTACACAGAGACATACTCAGTAATTGGAAAAGGGTTTGATCCCAGAGGTGCTCGACACCTTCAATTCATCTCAATTTCAAATGAAATTGACGTTCGTGGCATCCACAGAGTTCCCCCAGATTTCCCACTCTTAAGCAAGTCAGAGCAAACAGCCAACCAAGCATGCACTCTGGAGATGAGAGCTAAGAAACAGCATTAAAATAATTTAAACAACATGCAATTTAACACTGCCGTTTGAGCTGGTGGATCAGAATTTTTTCACAGCATACATAAAAATAGAGATGTTTGTAAGAGCCATCAAAAGACAGAGTAGCAGATAGACAGCCTTTTTTCCAGCTGTGCTTTTCAGATCCAAATCATTATTGCCAAATAGTGATTGAAGTGGAAGAAAAGGGCAAAAGAAGGAAGTTCCTTTTAGACTGTGAAATACCCAGTTTCTTTGAAGTGTAGGGCAGTCTAGCTTAATACTCGAGTGACCAGCCACCAAGGCATAATTTATCCTGAAACACTCAGAGACTTAGCAGTACTAAACAGCACATGAAAGTAACTTCAAGAACAAAAGAATTAATTTTCTTCCTTTAAGTGACAATTAGAATTGATACCCATCCTGTATTTTCCTTCCAGTTTCTCCAAACTTTCAGTTCCACATTCAGGACAAAATTGCTTTCCTGGTGTTTTTGGCAAGGGAACACAATCACATAAAGATACACCCAGCCCACTCAGGTTTCCCTCTCTCTCGTTTCACTCATACAACCAGCCATCACACAATCCTACCTTCCCAGTTGTTGTCATCACACAGCGCTGTCAAATCCAGCCGAGGCACTTCTGACACAAAGCTGTTTTCCTGATCATCAGCATCTTGATTCCTTTGCAACTTGTGAATGCCTGGATGCTCTTGAATCTTCATACTTGAAGTCAGCTATATTCCCATACACCCACAGAAATGAGAGAGAAAGAAAAAAAAAAAGTTTCAGGAGGCAGAGGAGGAAAAAAATCCCCTGCAGTCACAGCAGCAGTAAGCTCACGCCTTTAGCTAAAAAGATCCAAACATACAGACCCTGACGTTTCCCGCTCCAAATCCCCTGCTTGGTGATCCTTACGTACTAATTGCTCGCTCACACCGGTAAAAACATCCGTCCATCTGCCTTCCTTGAATTTTTCCTTCTTTAGAAAGCCACTGCAAGGTCCCGAGACCGCCTGCCCTGACAACTGCATGCAGCTGAAAAAGCCTCCAGTAATCGACTGGGATGAAAAGGGAGGGAGGAAGGCAGGGAGAAAGGCAGGGAGAGGGGGCGGCTACGTACACTTCCTACAGGAGTGCAACTCCTTGGAACAACAACAAAAACGCTGCTGCTGTTGTAAGGCTGTAGCAATATGGTGTCTTCTAAAAAGCAGGCACCGGAGCTCCTGAGGTAGCAGCCGCAGACAGCAAGCAGTGCAGGCTGCGTACATGAATGCTCTCATGCAGGCTGCGCTGGCTCAGATCAATTAGTGCCAGCTAAGCTGTGCTGGCTGCACATTCCCCGATTTCCTGTGGTTGTTTTCTAGCTGGGTGTGGGGAGAGCAGAACTATTTATGGAGGAGCTCTGGGTATTAAAGCAGCGTTGCGCAAATCCAAATGGCAGCGGGGTTTGGCATCTCAGCTGGAAGCAGTGTGGACTCTGGGAAAAAGCCAAAAAATTCACACAAGCATCCAATGACTTAGGGAAAAAAAAAAAAAAGGCCAAATGCTGTCAAGTAAATGATTCATCATTTAGCACTACCTAGAAGCAACTGCTGTTTGTCTCACCACTATTCACCCCTGCACATACCACACGTCTTGTGCATTTATGCAGAAATCACTGCCATTCCCACAATCCAGATACACAGTGCGCGTGTCTGTAACAGTGCTTGATGACACGAGCAGTTTTGTCACTCTGAAATAAATTAGCTGTAATGCCTCACAGAGGGCAGCAGGGAAAAGGAAGCGTAAAGCACGTACGTAAACATGTAGTATGATATGTATAAACCCACCACCAAACACACAGCTATCCAAATAGACAGCATTACATTACTAGATAAACTATTTGATCTTGGTAAGAACAGCTTAGGCATAATTCTCTCAAATATAGTCTAGCAGGTACTCAACAAGCAGATTTTCCCCCTGCAGGTATTTTGATAATCTAGTTAGCAATCTGCGTATGCTGATGTGTGAAGAAAACAGGCCTAAAAAAATACCCGGTACATTTGGACGTATTTCACTTGTGAATCCAGAAGCATGGCCAAACTGTACTAAATCAATATCCTTAGTACATGCCACTAAGGCACACTTCGTTTTTTTCATCTGCATAATGATGTGTTTGAGTTTTTTTTCCCCTTTGAGTGAAGAAAACCAAGTAAGCTTCATGTAGAGAAGGAAAAAACCTGCTCAGTAGACAAATCATATGAATAATTGTTTTGATCTGGATTCAATCCCATCAATCCCTGCAACTGGACAGGGTGCTAGATAATCTCGCCTAGGCTCCCCTTCCCATGAAAGGTTGGACCAGGTGATCTTTCGATATCCCTTTCAATTTGGGCTGCCCTACGGTTCTAAAAACCTGGGTGATGAAGACGCTCGTATTTGTAAAGAGTGTTCTGCACTGTATTTGTATAAGATTTGTATTTCCTTTTCATTTCAATAAATGGCCTTGTTGAAACATTATAACAAAAGGAAACACTAGATGACAGTTTGCCAAGGACTAATAACTCGTACAGCTTGACACTAAATCTGATTACAAACGTGTTTATTGTGAGAGCTGTACATGGAAAAATGCTAATTCACTATTCGATATCTTTTAAGCTGCTTCCAGGTTGGGAGGACTTAAATATTTCTTTAGGGTCCAGTAACAAATTTCTTGCCAGGATCTAAATAGTCAGTGTACATTACAAACAGAAAGACTGGTCAGTGGCCAGAAACAGGCAGTCTTCTGCATTTACTAAAGAACAAACTGTACCAGTTGATAAACTGCATGTAAATTGCCAGCACAGTATTTTGAGGCTGAAAGAAATAAAGCAGTAAGTTTCAAAATAGGTGCTATTTTTAATAACATCAAGAAGTGTGAAGAGAGGAACTTACCTAGATTTTAACAATTTCAAAGGGAGCAACCTGAAAATACCATCTCATCACCACCACTGATACTAATTACAGAGTTAAATGTCTTTCTGTGAAGAGTGTACAATCTCCTGACTTATTAAGACTCTTGAAAGATATCTGTAGCAGATATAAGAGCACTTCCCAGATGGGTAAACATTTTCATTACAGATATATTAGAAAGATCATATCAATGTCGTCTTCCTTCTAAAGTCTCTTCAGTTGTTGGAAATATTTAAAAGCTGTTTAAAAACAGGCCTGTGCTGTGCCTGCAGCCAGTTACTCTCCTTTCCTTGCTCACTGATGTAGCCTCTAATACAATGAATAAATCATTAGGTGTTCTGAAGAACAATGGTGGTACAAACCCAGGAGACTCCAGAAAGCAGATGCTTAACCTTCTTTGCATTAATGCTCCAAACCCATAGAGCGGTAGATAATTCAGTATTCCCAGCACTTATTTTCCTGTTTGATTTCCTGATGCCACCAGTTGCCAACCTCCAGGACAAAAATGAAGTAAAGGAGAACTACCATGCTTTAGGTATGGATATGCCATGGTTTCTTACAAACCAAAAGGGCAGCAAGTTCATGATCTCAGTAGCAGTTGGCAGTCACAGTGCACTGCGGATATTACATAAATGACCACAAAAAAAAAAAAAATCTTCAAACCAGGCACTCGAGTTCTGCTTTTTAGAAGCTGCTTCTGTGGTCATGCTTTGCAGGTACCAGTAACTACAGATCTATGTAACTTGGGGTAAGTCAGCTGCTTTCATTCTCCCTGCTCCAAAGGAGATTCAGCATAAAGAGTATCTCAAGCAGCCAGAAATAAATGGCAACAGAAAGATCTTTGAATTCTGATCAGGAAGTTGTATTCTGTTCGATTACATGTGGATTCAAATCAGCTTTATTTAAAAGGCTTGCTTCCCCTGCATCTGATCACCCGCTACAACCACAAGCAGGAAGCATCCTCAAGCACCTCTGGGTAACACAACCTGATGCAAGAATGCAGCCATTCTGTCGCCTGACTCCTGAGCCATGCCAATCCCCCTCTACCCTTGTTGCCATCTTGGTGTGAATCTTAAACACCCCTCCCTTATCAAAACCTGGGTACTAGAAACCTGTGTTTTTCAAATCACAGTCCACATCCTGGAGCTTAGCTACTTCCAAGGGCAGATTATGAAGGCTACAAAAGCACTGAAAATGCATTTGGGACGTGTTTCAAGGTACTTTTACTGCCTCATGGAGACCCGAGTCTGCACAACTGGTAGTGATGGCAAATTCCAAATACCTTTCCTAACATCTTCAGAGTGGAAGATGTCCCTTCCTCATCCTGAATGAGTTGTTTGTTACGAAAGGTATGTCTTTAAGCTGCCCTAAGCAAAAGGCTTATAAGGGACAAGGAATGTAAAACTACCCTGCAGGAATGTAACATTTTCTTGACCTTGTAATTCCTATATAATACAATCTCTAGGTTAAGGCTATGTCTTTTCCTGCAGTTAAAATTCTAAATTTTAAAACTCTTCCTAAGGAGAAGTTTATTTTAAGATTATGATTTTATATTCAAATATACCTCCCCCAGACTAATTGAAAAGCTTAATGGGAGTATTGTGTGGCACGGCAGTGATAGCACCTTCTCTACATGCCAGCCGGTACGTGAGGAACAAGGTATCGCAAAATCCATGCTCCAGAAAACACAACAGCTCATGAGCAAGTGCAGGATCATTGGGGATTACTGACTCTCTGGGAGCAAAGTAGGAGATCCATCTAGGCTCAGTCAGAGCAGTGACCAAAGGCAGCACTGAACACCCCTTGCAGAGGTTACATGTTTCAGCATCCCATGAACTTCTCCAGCTACAACACAGCTGGTGAGAGCCCAGCTGCTGGCAAATAATCCCTTTTACCTTTCCTGCTAGATGGAAATAATACCTACCAGAAATGAAGTCTTTCCAAGGCAATAAACGCATAGTGGCTTTTATTTTTAAAAACACACAAAAGTAGGCTAGTTTAAAAATACTATCAGCCCTCAGTTAACTCCAGATGGCCAGAGAAACCAGCCATTGTCCACAGCTGTTTTACTGTGCTCCTCTAAAATGGGTGCACAACTGAGGGAGAGGTGCCTCAGATAGCTCTCCCTAGTATTTTAAATGCTTGGCTGTCTAGAGGTGTTTCAAGCAAACCCAAATGAACCAGTGACTGCAAAGGTGTTCACCTAACCCAACCCCAAACTTTGCTTTGCTGAACAATTAGATGAAAAACACCATAAAGCGAATGCAGGAGGTGGGTGTTGAGCAGAAATGGAAAACTGGGAAAAAACCTGTTGCTGTCAATGTCACATCTCCCCTCCTGACATCCATCCCAGTCACCAACCCTTAGAGAGAAGCAAGAGATGATCCAGTTTGCTAAGACAAATGGATCACAGACACCTATGTTCAAAGGCAACAGGCTGCATTGGGAAATCATAAATAAGAGACCAAATGATTTTAGAGAAATCAAGAGAGACAAGCTCATCTTACTACCCTGGGAGATAACCAGTCACACACCCTGTTTGCAATGATTAACAAGGGAACTTGGCGTCACTTAAACCAAAGTGCTGACTTCAGTGGTGCTTCCCTTTTTGGCAAGGAGGGACTGAAGGGACTGAAGCAGATGCTTTCAGCCTCCTAAGTGGCTGAGAGGCTCCCTAAATTATGTTAAAAAAAAAGCAGAGGGAAGGGAAAGAAAAAGCAAACGCTAACTCAATTTCTCTGGGAGAAACAAAATTTCACAGAACTATATGCCTAACTACTTGTTTCTACTCAATAAAAAGCCCATTTAGAGACCACAAAACTGAAACACAAAAAGCAAAAAATACCAACCTGAGAGTGCCTGAAAAAAACCTCATCGTTTTCACTTTCTTTGCTACAAAAAACAAAAACAAACCAACATATTACAAATACAAACCCAGACTCGACTTGTAATAAAAACAAGCAGGACTTCTGCACACACAGGTTTGATTCTTGCTACTGCTGCACACTTACTAATTCATTCAGTAAATGAAGGGACACTCTGGGCTGCAGCACTTCAGGCTGCTAAACTATGTATTTTTGCTTCCTCTCAGGAGCTATTTGTGAAAAATATAATGCCATTTAATTCCAGTGCCTTTAATCCAAACCAGTACAACTCTCCCAACAAACATAATGGTGGAGAGAAATTGTCATCTTAGGCAAGCAGAGTGGGGCTGTACAGCTCTTGCAGAAGAGCAAGGCACAAAGAAAAGGGCTGTATTCCCAACCCAGAGGCCACGTGGAACAGGCCCTGTAGTCCCCTGTGTGGAGCATGCTGCTTAAGGTGCTTCACAGCTGACTTCTTTTCAAGTCTGCACCATCAGCATCTCCAGTGCCATTCCTAACAGGTTGGGAGAAGAGTCTTGGTGGCGTACGCTGCTGGGCAGAGCCCATACAACATACGCGGCGTCTCCACACAGTTCGACTTTGAAGCTAACACGGTGGGTAATGCTGTTCTGCAGCATAAGTAAATGTCGCCCTCATAGTCTGTGGTGGAAGATCTCTTAGGCTGTACTACAACCACAGGGAAAATAAAACATACATATATTTAAAAAAAAAAAAAAAATCACCTTTCTTCAGATAAAATTTCCATGTCATCAGGTCCTGTTCTGTCTATAGGCCTGGATGAGCTAAAGCTTTCCATACTCTGTAATACAGTAAATGTTAAAGCAGTAAGATTCAGAAGAGAAACAGATTCAAGCTGCAGGCCATTAAACAGATCAAATATAGAAATATCCAACAGGACTTCTAGAAACAAGGCAACAATCAGACTACTGCCTGCTGCACATTTATAACAAAACAAACCCCACACTTTATTGCCCAAAAAAACCCCAGCTGCTCACTGCTTCGTCTCTTTCATCAGACAACCTCAAAACGTTTAACAGAATAACGCTGCATGATACCCCGTCAGTTCCCATTTTACAGACTGACAGACAGGCTGAGCTTGAGAGCAATTCTGTGGTGTGCACAAGTCCTGTAAGAGCAGGTAGCAAAATCCACAGCACCTTCCCAGCAGGACTCCTTAGGCTCATCTTTGAAAAGACTCTCCTTCTCAGCCAAACCCTTCCCTAGTTTCTTCTTAAATGGGCAGAGGAATGCAAAGAGACTGCCATATGGACACAGGTAATGTTAAGTTGTGCTAATACGAATGCAGGGCAAGAAATTCAACTGGTTACGACAACTTGTTCTGAAATTTGTCTTGGCTACCATTAGGAACATTAATGCTGTTGTCCTCTAAGAGCTTGAGAAAGTAATGTGAAGACAAGCCACATTGTCACTTTGGACATATGTCCAGGAGGTTTTCTACTCTGTCTTTTGGGCAAGTCCCTCTTAAATAGAAGAAAGTCAGTCAGTAGAATGGAGCATGGTTCCTGCCCTGGTCCCGGGAACTGTGTGCACAGACCTCCTGGGGCAGTCACAGCCCTCCCTCCCCTGCTACACCTCCGGCCCCATAAGGCAACACAGCTCAGTCATCCAGCCTTGCTTAATGGGATTCCTCAAGTCCTACTGGTACCTGGCTACTGTGTCTCTGAAATGCAGTTACAAGCTTTTAATGCTTTGTGGTTGGTTTGCTCAGGAGAGTAAGTGGAACTGACAGTTTTTCCACCGCTGACTTACGCTTTTGAGTCAGATGCAATTAGACAGCTAAGAGGAAAGCTTCCACACACTGTCCTACATACTCTTTCAGGCTTTGAAAAGCAGGAAGGCTCAGAAAACGGTGGCTAAGAAGGTACAACATCACCAACTTGTTTACATGACGAAGACTTATTAGTAAATGCTAAGGTGCAGGTTATGTCCTTTGATACTCCAAGTAGGTAGTTTAATTTGGGTTATTATTTGAAGTGTAAAGATGTAGCCAAAAGAGAGTTAAACCACCACACATCCTGCTGGCAGTCTCTGAAAGGCAAGCGTGAAATAATCGCACTCATGAAAACTTAAAAAGCACCCTTTGCTCTTCAAAAAGAGTAGCACCGTGGTCTCTGCAAGCTGTTCCGTAACAATACTCCCGGTTGACAAACCCACCGCGACACTTCCTCTAGCAACGCAGGCAACAACCACAGCGATGGTCATCTTGGTCAAAGTACTTTTTGTGCAAGGTTAGTCCATGTTATGCTCCTTTCAGCCTTTGCCCCTCAAGAGATCCAAAAATGAGGGGCAGGGCAAAGTCCAGTGGACACAGGTAAGTTTGAGGACACTTCTTCTGGGCATGTTTTAACACTTCATGAATGTTTTTCAGGTCCACAGTAGAAGTGGACACTTCTGTTAGTCTTTCCTTTCCTAAATCCTGAGTCAAATTCTCATTTACATTTAAACTGCTTTACACAGGTACAGAGAAGAGGTACAGAAAAGAGTGTAAACACTTGACCTTTGACTATCTTAAAGTCCATTGCTACAATCAAAGATGCAAAGTGAGCGTGTCTGTCTCACTGTGCTCTTTCATGAAGTATCACATGAGTAGGTTACTGATATTGAGCACTAAATCTAAGCACAGCCTACAATTTTTGGCATCTTGCCTTCTTTTTGTCACAAAGAGAAGCCAAATCTGCTGCTCTCTACGATCTCTGCATAGGGTAAGAGCATCAGATCATTGCAATTTTGACACCTAAACAAAACGAGTCCCAGCACAATGTCACATTAGGAAGGAACTCACTCACAGCAGGCTCTAAAACTTAATCAAGTACATCTGAAGGAAATGCCCTACAGCTCGGACGGACAGTCTTTTCACACAGCTTTCGCTGTTACTAGCAACCACGTAATGCATGCCTGGTGCCAGGCACTGGGATGCATAGCACTTCTGCCACTCTAAGCAGACCCTGTGTTGAAGCACAGTACAGTTTCTCAACTGCTGACACTATAATCAGTGTCTGGTTTGGTTATGAGGGAAGGAGGGTGCGTCAGTTTTATTCTACAACTTGTAAAAGCTGGCAAACTGTCTTCTGCTGTGAAGGTCACACAAGAATACGCTGGGCAAATTGTACAGCATTCCAGATTTTTAGGACATTACATCAGTGTCATTCACCTCCTCAGTAAAGCATAGCTAGAGGGATCATCTTTTGGACCAACAAGCTCCAAAGTGTTTTGCAAATCGCAAACACCACAGTAACACACAGACTTTAGGGAAAAGGCATAAAACACCTTTGTCTTCTCATTATCAAGAAGTTACTTGCAATCTATGGTTTCAGAACTTAGCAGGAATATAAAAATAAACTTGACCTAAACATGTGAACCTACATCTGAGGTTCCAGCCTTCCTGCAAGACTTCTGAAAGACTGGGAAAAAGACTTACTTCCTTTTTCTCTTTCCAAAATGCTTTGCTGAACTCAGAAGAAAAAAGCAAAAAGTCGTGGAAAGAGAAAATGACTATGGATGGAGTAAGAGAATCACAGCAGAAATACAGCTTCTCAGTTGCTTCATCACAAAGGTTACAAGTACAGGATCCAGTGTTCCCCGTAGTCCAAAATAGCCACTTACGCTTGGACTGTAGGCAAAAACAGCGACCCAAAGGAACCAGATGTGCGCTGAAATAAAAAAAGACTTTTTTCCACCCTAGTACTAGGTGTCAAATAGTACAGCATGCCAGCTTACCACAGGACTGTCCTGGTTGTCATTAAGCTCTGAAAGCTTGGTGCTGGATTTCTGCCTTTTTGGTTTATTCCTTTCACTAAGATATCCGGAGCTGTTGTCTTGTAATTTTTCTACTTCTTGAGCAGCTATAATACAGTCTTCAAGATTGCTGAATCCAGAGGGAATGTTTTCTTTGTTGACGACTTCCCTAAAAAGAAAAGGGATGTTACAACAAGAGGTTGTTTAAAACACTCTCCCGCTACATTTATGGTAGCAATAGAGAAACGGATCATGCTGACTGGTGCAGTTCCGGCAACATCTTCTACGCCCTATGAAACCAGTATCTCTGGTTCTTCCTACTGCAGCAAACACCACACACTGTGCAATGCTAGATCCCATTGAGGACTGAAAGCCAGGCGTATACACCTCAGGTGAGAAAGCTGTGAGGATCAACGTTTGGGACTTGATTCACTTCCCACTAAAGCCAATGCAGAGAATCCCATTGACTTCACATGGAAGCTGGACTAGTTCCTGGCTGTCTGTGGTATTTTTATAGAGAATACGCAGCATATTTTCCTTTGAGACACGTGCTTTTAATTTAGAAAAGTGATTCACAGCTGCGGTCTAAGGATCTCCTTTGGTGCATGACACCGCATAATCGTCCCTCTTACTCATATTCTCAAATGCAAGAGCAGGACTGTGGTGCTTTAGCCAAACATTTGATTCCTATTTGGGAATTACACAAAACAGAAAAGGGAATGCATCTCTGCAACGGCAACACAGCTGCTAGGACAGAGGACTGTTCTGCTCTGTTGGGAGGTGAACGGGACGGCTAGCTTTAAGTCATCACGTGATGCGCTAGCTGGGACTCTGGGCTAGCAGGGTTCGTGCATGTTTTCCAGAAGCCTGGTGTATGGCTTATCTTCCTTGCACAATTAGCCTGCTGGGTCCTTCAGCATGCAGTCTTCCCTTCATAACCTGTTTAATAGTCCTCCCTCTGTGCAATAATGAAGACGTACATACATAACACGTCACTACATTATGGGAACAGGAGAAACACAACGCATCTCATTCTTCACCATCCTACCCTGCCAGAGCCTACAGGCAGGCTGCTTACACTCCACATTGAAACTGGAACGGTTGCTAACTGTTGTACGTGTGGCTGCCTTATACAGTGCTGCGTGACTCCAAAGCCTGCTTTCACCAACAGCAGGAGAAGTTACCTAGACTTGCACTGGTGGGACAAGAAACCAGTTACTCTGTAGCATCTGGACTGTGCCAGCATGCCAAAGTATTCAGATCAAGAACAGAACTAGAGAGTTTCAGTGATTATCTAGATCATGAATCTCTAGGTTTTGTTGGTAGAAGAGAGATAAAGAGGTATTATAAATCTATGGTTAAACTTCTAAGATAACACATTGGCCTTTGTGGAAGTTTTTACAAACCCCTGAGCAGACCAATTACATATACATAGCCTGTAGATCATGTAGTCTGCACAGCCGGGGAGTTCACATATGTGTTTTTGTGATAAACACTCTTCCTAGCTGAAGTCCCATCTTGTGACACTACAAATCCTCTTGTGATCCATCACAAGGCAAGGCAATGAAGTCACTGACAATCAAAACAACAACAACAGAAAGAAGTTTTGAAAGGAATTCCCAGTTTTGGTAATTCACCCAAAGGAGCTCCAGCAATCTGACCTAAGGGAACCAGGGAAAACAATTTGAACCCCAGCCAGCATTCAAAACTTCCAATGTGCTTTAAATCCTTGGCTCCAGCTTTACGGACCGAACCTGAACAATTGTGTCAACCCTGTCTAAAGGCAGCTCTGTAACGCAATGTTGAAAAAAAGCCCTGCAGTGCTATATGCTTCCAAACACGTACACTAGCCAGTCTCTGACCTACTTACCTGAGAAGCCTGTCAGCGGGGCTACTGAACAAGAAAAACTACTTCAGAGCTGCTGCCAGACACTTTGGTGACTTGCAAGTGCTTATTTCCTGGTCCATTTTCACAGCATATTTTCCTTCACTATGGAAATGGCTTTTTATTTTGTAACTATAGATTTTTTTACAACAGTAGCATCGACACATTTTGGGAAATAGCACGGCTGCAATATTAACACGAGGTACTGATGGTTATGCACCTGTATAAAAGTGGCTTTGTATAGGAAGGTGCAGATCCAACAGGATTTGGGGAACTCAGCACCCAGGAAAAAACAAGAGACTAGATGTTTATTTTGGAATCTAACTTGAAACCCTAGCAATCCAATACTACAGTCAAGTATACACATTCTTTACAAGAACTAGTGCTGTGTTAAAGCTAGACATGTGTAAGCACTGATTAGATCATGGCCTTGCGAAGTCTGTAGTTACAGCTCCTCAAAGATAGCTATGCCTTGGGCAAGTGTTTGTTACGGCTGTGGTGGTAATACATTTGTACCACACAATATCTACTACAAGTAGAGGAGTATGACAGGAAAAATGGGTATGAATTTTACTCTTTGACAGACATTTAATGAAGTTCAGCACTGAATCATGTTTAAACTTGGTATAACAGAGTGGGTAAAAATTCTTAAATTCTGATTAATTGAAAGGAAGATTTTTCTACTTTCAGACAAACTCCCAGGGGTCCTCAATAAACCCAAACACAGGCTGTGCCTCCACATACAAAAGGGGAACCTGATCTCATTTTTTAAGACATTCTGAATTCAGAAAAGCATCTAAACCTAATATTTTTATGTAAAGAAAGTTACAGGCAATAGGGTCAGCTGCTTGGGAATTTCCACTAAAGCAACAAATACTGTAATTAAACAATTCCAAATACTGTAATTAAAAAGTCTACTATACGGCATAAAAAAAAAAGGATCCTTATCACGCTTTGCCCTGCTCCATGACCTCTAATAAACTCTACCTTTCCCAGCTCTAACTGATGCAATGGAGCTCTGCACTTTCAACTCAGGGCAAGGGCCAGTGCATTTCATAACAGAACTAAGCATTGCCTTGATAAGAGGACACGACTAGGGTACACTTAATCAAATATACTTTCCAAAACAAAGAAATCAGTCTCGTACATGTCTCTGTTTCTCCGGGCTTCCTCCTGCTCTTTGTGGTGTCGCCTCCTCTGCCTGGCAGACACATTAGAAGAGGCTGAAGACGTTCCCGATTCAGAGTCCTCTGAACTCTGGCCGCCTGAGCCATGAACATCAAAGAGATGCTGCTCCACGGCTGAGCGGATTGTCTTCTCTAAATACCTGTCAAGCCGAAAAATAAGGTCAATTGAGCTCAAAGACTTTGTGGAGCTCCCTCTCTGCAACAATAAATAAAGCAAGGGTATCCGAGGGTTATGTTTTATTATGATGGCTAGGGCTATGACATCTGCAAAGAGCTAAGCCAAAATCTTCAGATACCCTGATGTTCAGGTTCGTCACAAGAGCCGAGCCTTCCCAATTCATCTTGCTTTTTTATTTCTAGGAATGTTTGAACCTTCAGTGAAACAGCTAATTTTACTTACTGCAACTATAGACGTGGGTGCCTAACTTTCATCCTCCACTTCAACGGTCCTTGCCCTGACAAAATTGTATTTGAGACCCAGCCATGCTGACACCGGGTCAAGCCTCCTGTGCAATCTGAGCTCAGCAAGGCAATGGATCATCTGCAAGAAGGTGATTCACTGCTGTCTCACAGGGGGATGAGAACACGCGAACAGTACCTCACTACAAACTCCTCACATGCTTATCTCGGTGACCAAGCATGGATTTGATTCTGAGTTCATGCTGTTTTCGCACTGTTCTTGTGCCATGAATGCACCCACAGCCACCCCTGACTTACTCTGGTGTGAGATCACCATCACGCCCACTGGCAGTAAGAGGGCTTCCACACAAGCTACAGCAAGGGAGCCTCTGCAGTTGCATCAATTAAAGATGTGAGACTACTTGAACTTTCAACACAACCAAATCTCCTTCATTTTGGTACTGACATTTTCTTGTAATATTTCCTTCCTTCCTTAATCAGAGGAAGCTTTTATGGGCAAAATAAATCCCACCCCCCCCCCCCCTCATTTGGAAACACATTTTTTTACATCTCCGCCCCATCCCTGTTTCTTGCAATGCTTTAAGTAGTCTGCTGAAGAATGAGTCTTCCAAACACACCTGTCCAAAGTCCATATATAGCTTCTAGTGCCTTTTCCATAAGTAAAAAGGCTATTTGCAGGATTTGCTAGTTAATTTTCAACTAAGTAGCTATGAGTATGGGAATCTGTACCTGGACTGACTTCTCCAGAGAATTTACAAAAGTTGTTGCTAAGTTGCTACAGCTGTAAGCCTGCTGAGACTGGAGTTCCCAAAAAAGTCAAAAGATCTTAGCAACTGCAAAAACCCACATGGTTTAACTAGGCAAGTATGTCTGCTTCATGTATTGACAAGAATCAGTTCTGCAAACCCATCAGCCATTGGGAATTTCCAGCTTTGGCAAGGGAGCCAACTCATTAGCTCCACTGCTCCCAGTTATGGTAGTGGGGTCAAGCCCTATCCTCTGCTGGGATGCAACAGGGCGCAAACAAGAGCAAGAGGATGATACAGTGCTAATGGCATCTCTAAATATGCAAGTTCTGCTGAATCAAAACATTGCAGGCACAGTGTGAGGAAAGAACCAAGGGCCTGAGAATTTTTCAGAAGGAAGTGATTTATTGTCATTGCAGATGCTTTGGTTTGGGAAACTGTCTTTTTTTTGTTTGTGTAAGAACAACCCTTAAAGACAAATCAAAGAATAACCAGCAATACTTTAAAAAGCTCCAACATACAAAAAGGTAGCTACAAAATTGTGAAAGAGACACTTACTCTCCTGTAGCGGGAATGTTACTACTGACTTGTGATACGTGGGCACTGTGTAAAAGAAAAAAAGAGGAGAATGTTAGATCTAATTACCACAATAAGGTCTTAAAAACCCTTGTTCTTTGCAGCACTAAGATTTAAAGGTCTGAGCTGTCTCAACAACAATTGCATGTGCATGCCACAAGTTTTCCCCTTAAGGAATTTTCACTCCCATGGTGACGTGGCGCATTTTGACAATGCCAATATCCTCAAGAATTAATTTCCCTGTCATTCCCTTGCAGCAGGCCAAGCTCTAACGGAAAGTATTTCAATCTCAGCACGTTGCAGATTTTTTTGCTTTCCTCTGAGCTTTCTGCTGCTGCAGGTTGTTTTAGCCTCATCACAAAAGACCTTGCCTTTTGAGGCCGACTTGAAAATGTATACACTGTGAAAGGGGACTTAATATTTAAGAATCTTTAAATATTTATGGAGGACAAAGGCAAAATACAGGCTTTTCACAGTTCTCCTGCTGCTGCTCTCTGATAATCGTGCTCTTTGCTTCACATTTTTAAAAATAAAATGTATGCTCTCTTTTTCCCTTTTACCTCAGTCTGTTTTCAGGCTCAGGAAGAGCTGACGCGACTGTAGGTGTCATTGCTTGCTGTTTAAAGCCCTTCTGAACAAGCTGACGTGCCACCTCGCACAGCTGTCACCGCTTTCCTCCCTCTGCCAAGCTGAGTCCCGTCCTGCCCCCTCTTCCCCCACGCTGACTCGGCTCTGCAGGTAAGGTGACACTTTTTTGCCTAAGTTACAGGCCTAGGGGTTTCATTTCGATTTATCCCTGTATCAGCAGAAGAATTAGCAGTACAACTGCCTGATATATCCCAATAAAATGGCACTGCGTGGCCAGGGTACAAGCCAGGCTGGATGCAAGATGTGCCTCCTGCCAAAACAGCCATTCATTGCTTTCAGTCTTTACCAGTTTCTCCCAAACCATTTCAATGCAGAAGAACCAACGACAGCCGACTTCCCTTCACTAACCAAAGGTTTCCTCTCTGCTTCCCTCAAATATTTCGCACTTCACCGTACAGATCTAGAGCTAGCTAAGAAGCTGCAGCACTCTCAGATAACCACTCTGTGGCTTTCCTGGGTTTGCGCGTCACTTGTGGCAGAAGGCGGGCGACGGAGGACGAGGAGGGTAAACGAGGGGCCGCTACATCCAGTTTAACAAAGCCAACAAAACAGCCTAATGCCTGTGGTGAAGTACAAACCCCACAAACACCCAGCTGCAAATCAGACTCGCAATACGCTTCAGCTTCCTTCATCTGAGCCAGCGTGTTCACCTCGGTGCGAGTAAAGCAGGGTGCCCTAACCACACGCGCATCCCTTCCAGTCCCGGCTTCACTCGGCGCTCATCTCCAGCCCAGGCACAGGTCCCTGGAGCGGTGGCACACCATGAAAGCAGTCATGGATTTGCCAGCATATCCCACATTACCTGCACAGCACCCGAGCAGCGGGTGAAATCATCATTCAGATGATTTCATGAACAGAAGACATACAAACAAGTATTACTGTACTTACTACAGACATGCAATCTGCATATAGGAAAAAAAAAATTTGCAAGATCTCTTCCCACACGTGACATCTTGGCTATTAACTACTGGATGGCTTTGGAATTTGAAGTGCACATTTCAAGCACCCTACTTGCTTTCCTGTTCACTTACATAAACTATTTGGCCTCTTCCCACCCCGAAACTATTTTTTAAGACCTGGCCTCCCATGGGAGATGGATTAGCAAGTAAGATGCTAGTGTGGTAGGCTAAACCACATTATAAGATAAAATTCATGCGCTGGCTACTGTTCCTACATGTGTGGGAGTAAGTTAATTTTGTATCAACTTTCTATAATATTTACATAAAATCCATACTGAGTGGGGGCGGCTTTCACATCACACCTTTCTTCTCTGTTTTCATGTCAGGAAAGTGGTAGCGGAGAGGGAGACAGGATTGTCTGGATTCTAGTTTTTTTTAAAACATCCCTAGGATGTAGGTATATCCACCCATCAGACAAGACAGAAGCTCTCAAGGCACAGCTCTTCCCTCTACTTCCAACAGGATTAGTACTGTGCAAAAACGCAAACTCCTGTTTCACATAAACTTAATGAAAGGCTAGTTACTGTATGGGAGTAACACTTCATGCTGTTAACTCTGCCTGCGGTGTTCAAGGCCAATAAGTCACTATCTGCAAACCACTCACATCATTACTGAAAACACACCGTCTTCTTTACACAAAAAGCAGTAAAAAGAAGAAACAGAAGATAGAGCTGCAAAAATATGTAAGTAAAATGCCAAAAATTTTCATGACATCCCAATACATTCTGTAGTTGTCTAATTCTCAGTTAACTGTGTGCTTTACTAACACCAATTCAGTTTTAAGTCCATTAACCTTGCTAATTCACAATGATGCATATCTGCGTAACAATTACTTTGCGGTACTAGAAAAGGCCTACTCAGACAATACAGATTCTGTCTGAGAGCCAGTAATATGGTTATTTTCAAATAACAAGGAAATATGTATACAGCTACGCTGGCTGAGTGGATGACTATAAAATGAAGCTCTGACATTCTGATTTTATTATATTACCCTTCTAAACACTGCTTCCTTGTATCCTGAATATACCTTTGTTCTTAGCCCTGTGATATTTTAATGCTCTTTAATTAGCCCCCTCTCAATAAGATGGAGATTTTAAATCAGAGTTTTTCCAGATACACTAAATTTCTTTTAATTCCACAGTTGGTAACTTCCCTTGCTATTTCATTTTGAAGTTTAATTTAAACGCATTGCTAAATCATTTCATTTACTCTGCACCAGCCTTTTTTACATCGAGGAAGTTCGCATCCAAAACAAATGGTGGAGGGGAGAGAGTTACACAGTGGCTTTAGGATTTGAGCCTGCCCAGGGACAGGGCAGGAGGTGCTCGGGCGCGTTAGCAAACTCAGGGAAAGGCACAGCCCTGTAAGGATTTCACAATCCAGAAGAGCAACCAGGCAGGCGGGGTGTATCCTGCGGGGTTTTCCAAACTTCTTGGGTGGCAAAAGCTGCTCTGCCGTTGGATTTATGCTTCACAGAGCAGACGAGGCGAGCCGTGCCCAGAAGAGCCCTCTTGGCATGCCTGCCTGTGCAGGCAGCTGCCTCAGAAGGTCTGCTTTGCTCAGTAAATCATCCGGACAACGGGAACCCATGTTCTGCTTTGGTTAATTATTTTCTCTTCATGTCTGCTCCATTCCACTGATACGTATGGTCAATTATCTTCACAGCTAGATTATTAAATTATGCAGCTGCTTCAGAGCACGCTGAGAAATAGCGACTTTCGATAGAAATTAAAGGTTCTCCTCAGGTGACAGAAAGCAGCAGGAGAGTTTCCCAGTGCTGGGGACTTTTACTTTCAGAGAGCCAGCCACAAAACCTGCATCAAGGCACACAGCTCTTTTAAGTGCTATAAACTTTTGAACTGGCTTCTTATGACCCTCATGCTTTTCCTTTTGGGAAGTCTGACCTCTAGCACTTCCCAGACTTGTCTAACTTGTTTACCGAAGTCTTTTGCTCACTTTCAGAGGTGCCCCATCAGCTCTGGTAAATGTCTTGCTTCACATGTAAGGTAAACTCTTACTGCATGGCCTCTTCTCCCATTCCATTTCAACCTCAAGTATGGGAAGGTGGTATTTTCCATCACCTTTAAGCACGCTGGATCTCCCCTACCCCCGGTTTAAAATATATGCACCAGAGTGAGAATTATCTCATGCAATACCTGCACCCTGTCTGGTCTACACTGGGCATCTTGTGACAGCAGGCAAATAACTGAGTCAGATATCAAACCCCCTCTCCTGTTTTTTTCATTCAAGGCACTATTGAGCAAAATGTATTAGCATCCAGGTATTAAAAGAGCAAAGTAAAAACATCAACCAGAGCAAACTGACTTACTGACATAGTATTTTCTCAGATTGGGTTTTCATTTATGAAGTCAATGAATTAATTCCTGACCATACTTAATGGCCTAAATCATAAGCTGTACTTGCAATCTAGAACTAAGGCCACTCATTGCTGACATTTATTTAGAATCCATCTGCTTTATTCAGGAAGCAAAGCTATTTTTTTTTCCTGTTTTTGTTTTTTTAAAAGCCAAGCACAACAGTAAGAAAACCTCAATACATGCAAAAACTCTTTACTATTTTGCCATTCCAGCAAAGTAGAGGATGTTCAAACGGCTTTGACATTTCAGATGGGAAATTTCTGAAGTCCTCCCGAATATATTATTCCAACCTCTGACCTATGAAATTCCTTTGTCATAGCTATTTATATAGTCTAAACACTGTTCACTCTCCACAACTGTTGCACACTGTGAGATGGAATACTGCAGACTCACATGGGATCTGTTTTAAGACAACTACTTCATTTGACACACATTCCCCAAAGAGAAGGATTGTGTCTGCATATAAAACGTGAAAATAATGAGTTTAAAAATAAAGAGATGTGCTCTTAGTTACCAGGATGTCCCATCACACAGAGGACACACTGCCAATGTTTTCTCAGCACCTTCATGCTTTCACAAGCTCAGATCCAATTATCCTTCCTTTAAATGTGGTACATTATATGTGACACTACCTTCTTACTATGCAGAAAACTAACCCCACTAAAAGGAATTGTCTTGTTTTCTTCAGGATTCCTGCT